TCAATTAAATAAGTGAACATTTGCCTTCCGGTCTTTTCTTTCACATAATTTTTTGTATGAAATGTTACCACATCCGAAGCACGTGGGCTCGGGCTGAAGAAAGAGGGCACCAAACTGACCTTTCGAGCCAGAGACAGATAGAGCACCGATCAATAAGGGGGTGATTGAGAAAGGCCGCAATGAGCGCTCAAGGCTCAGGAAAATCAGATTTGATCAAACTGTTGTAGGAATGACGCTGAAATGTTGGATGATTTTATGGCAGCCATAAACTAAAGTGTAAATCAAGCGCAAACAAATTTATTCATTTAGTATGGGAAGATGGAATTGCTGCCCAACAACTACCATAATAAAGCGATTTCGCTTTACAACGGGGGATTTAGTTATAGCGGTAAGAGGTGTCAACACTCGGCCTTGTATAATAAGCTGTAAAAGTATTTTTTACTGAGGATTTCTCAACCTCTGCACGGTATGGCCGCAAATGGGGCAATTTGCGCCCGTTTTCGCCCCCATTTGCGCCCGCTTTCAAACACCGTCCTTATCATTAGATCCGACTTTGTTAAATTAGTCACCTGTACCTGTCTTATCAGGAAACTTGTACTCACCGAAATAAATCTCAGCACTTAAAATGTGTATGAAAACTAGGCATAATCCAGCCAGCACTGCAAGTGGTTTTTCCCGTCCATCTGTTGTTTGAATTGCGACCAGGAAAACCCGCCGCTTAACGGGATAAGCGAGATTTTTCCCACAAAAAAAAACAGTAAAACCGCACCGCTTCTATGTGCGAACTAGATACGGAGGATAACTTGACGAAGGTGTATACCCGAGTCCCACACAAGTGGAACAAAAATAAACATATCTCGTTTGTTCATGATAAAAAGAAACAAAGCACCCAACTGGGATATCGACTAGTCTCAACGACCTTCTATGTGTAGCACCATCTCTATTCATCATAAACCTTTTATGTATTAGGAGAATTAGTAGACAAAGACGGCAGCTTGATAACGATTTAATCCTGCTAGTCCTGCTATCGCCATGTACGCGCCATCTAGATCTGTTTTAGCCTTCTAGCTGCAGGAGAAGGCTATTGAATGCTGCGATTATGTAGAGTTTTCTGCTCCCAAATAAACAGGGTTTCCGAAATCAATTTCTTTTATTCCTGCTATCCAGGATAAAGCTGATTTTTTGTCATTAAACTGCTCGTGATCTTAGTCCAAGACGCCCATTATCTGGTGAAGAGTCATAGGAAATCGCATCATCACTTGAAAATATGTAATTCATACATTGTTTTAAGGTGATATGATTGATTGCTTGTAATAGTCACGATAGCCAGAATTGCGCAATTAAATTCAGTTAAAAGTGCGCTTCCATTTGTCTTTGTTGTCATGTTTTATGAACTTATGCAGAATCCGTTTTCTGGCTGTTGATAATGTCAGTAACGAAACTGATGAGTTTTTGCACTTTTAGGCCGTTCTTCCTAACGTTTCGCAAGCACGAGTGGCTTGCATCTTTTTTATTGCTCAATTTTCACTCTGCGAAAAATCAGTAGCCTATTTTTATGTATACTGCCTTTACCCACCCATTATTATTAAAGTTTATACAGCAATAAATCGACTTGGAGCTGCACACAAAAAATTGTCAAAAGACACTTTTTCTTCATGATTGAGCTATAAATTCGAAGCTAATTTTTTGTTTAAAAAAAACGGGGTTCAGTACGTTTCTTCTATTTAAAACATGACAAATCGTATGAAGACAAGAAAACATGACACTATTTAAATACCCTGTACAATATGTACATTAATTTTTTTGCTTGTTTTATGATTCAATTTTTGTTCAAGAATAGAGCTATAATTCGATAAAAATACTGTTCAAATTGGATCAGCTACTGAGAAAATCATCACGGTCAAAAGTTCGGGAATATTTAAGCTCACTTGACAACTCAAATGCTGCAATGAACCGACTTTTATTTTTTTACTCCAAAACGGGGCGGCATACGAAAACATATCAAGAGACTTTTTCTCCTCCTAAGTGATCGAGAAATTGTAATCTAATTTTTGCTTTACGAAAAACCTGGGTTTTATAGCGTTTTGTTACTTAAAAGCATCCATTTTATATTAAAATCTTATGCGCACTTGACAATTCGAATTCCGCAACGCTCCAGATTTTATTTTTTTAATCGAAAACGGGGCGTCGCACAAAAAAACGTCAAGATATATTTTCTCTTCCTAATGGATCACAAAATTGGAAACTAATTTTTAGCTTATGAAAAAAACTGTATTTTTTAATGAAAAGCATCCGGTTAATACACTGCGCATCATATTTAACGCAAAGCCTAAATATTTCCTAAATTGTCGCTGCCAATATTTTCTCCCATTTAAACAATTTTTTCATCGAATTATAGCTTAACTCATGCATAAAAATTACGTAATATGATAAGAAAGAAAATGCGATAAAATATTGAACACGAAGATAAATAGTGTCGTTTTCTTGTGTTGTATGCACAAAACAGATTTTCTACTACCGTCTAAAAGCCCGAAAAAAACTCATTAATTTCAACTATTGCAGGTTTACTGATATGCAATTCATTTGAACAAACTTCGTCATCAGCACTAAAGTCCATTTATTATAAATCCGCTTTAAATCGATTTGTCAAGGAAAAACAAAAATGCTAAAAATCTTTTTTTGGACACTTTAATCCGCAAAAAATACCGTTCGTTTTAGGAAAATGCCAAAATTTCGGTATACAGTTTGCGAGCTTCGAACTGGCTAAAGGATAATGAAACTGAACATTTTAAGGAATCTTTTGCAAGTTTCTTAAAATGTTTATTAAAACGCTGGAAAAGTTTAGTGTGTTCACGTTGAATGCGAACGCAACTAGTAAAAAAACGGGGATTTAGCAATGAAGTTTATTACTTAATGAATTATATTTGATTTTCAAATAATGTTCATCTGATTACAGTAGAGAATTGGAACAGTCAATCAAATATTAATTCAATAATTAATTAATACAAATTTTAATAATTATACAGAGAATAAGAAGGAACGCAGTAGAAAATAGACAATGCAACCAACACGGGAAAAGAGCATATTTGCTACTTCCATCGCTTTCAACTTGGAAACTTGAAAACAATCAAATTTAATTTAAAAAAATGAAGAATGAAAAGAGTAATTACTCTTTTAGTAGACACAAAAAGTATTACGTACTAGGAAAAACTATTATTATTTTATTTGTTTCATGCTAATTAAATATTAGAAACAAATATTTCCTAAATAACATTTAACTAATATTTAAGAAATATTTCCTTTTATTTTGAAATATTTACCGTTAATTGACCAATGAAAATTGAGAAAATATGTTCTAAAGTTTATTCACACTTATTAAAAATAATATATTAATAACTTTTTGCGTGTTAGTGGTGTTATATATAGACACAAAAAGTATTACGTACTAAGAAAACCTATT